TCAGACAGAGGAGACGACAAGTACTAGAAAGTATCCCAGTTGAGTGGCTGCAGATACTATCTTCGGCAAAGCCAAATCCAATAGGGACCTGGTACTATGAAGTTGGAAAGGAACGAGACTTGATCTCGTCCCAGCTGCGGGAATTCGTGAAACTGGTGGGATTCAGTGAAGGAGGCAGAAGGAAATTTCAACAATGGCAGTCAGAGACTGCAGAAGAAGAATTAAGGCTTTGTGAAGAAGAGGAATTTTGCTCACTGCCAAAGGGGATCTTGGTAGAGATCAGAGTTTTAGAGACAGTAAACGAAGAGGGGAATGCGAAGCTATGGAACGCAGGGGTTCCCCTTGCATCACTCAAAGCAGATCCAGACCAATGGGCCTGGAGGAGTAGGGTGCCACATGGGGAACATGCAAAGTCAGATGATTTTTTGTTGGAGCTGGGTAATAAAGTACAGGATTCTCCGTATCCTCCTCTGATGACGGCCACACAAAGATGGACAAGGGTCCTACCAGATGATGCAGAGAAGATCAGTCGAGCGCTGCAGAAGTGCTGGCAGCAACTGGCTGAAAAGATCTTAGGACTGAATAAGATAAGATGAAATCGAGAAAGAGCTCTATTTTTCTGCAGAACTTAACATTTCCGTCAAGCAGCTTCAAGTTGTCCATTTAAATTCATTTAATCTCGTACGCAACTCACCTGAACCTCTTCAATTTTTCTTTTTTTTTTAGACAGTTCAACAACACATAGGCTTCATACTCTGGAGCACGCTCACACCCTGAAAACATCTCTTTTAGACCTTCATTTCATATATATATATATATATATATATACTCGGTGAAACTTCAACGAAACAGTCTGTCACAGTCCCTCGTCTGTTGTCCCCTTCTCCCTCTCTGCCTACGGTTTACGGGGCAGCTATGTTTGACGATACATACATATATATATATATATATATATATCCTCACATATATACTTTTATATATATATATAATCCGTACTCTTTGCGAAAAAGATAATCAACTCTTTCGAACCGAAGGTATTCGACGATGTTGGATTGTTCAGAGCAGTGACGAGGTCATGCTTGACCTMAAAAAGAATAAAGCTTCTCKTAGAGGTCTGGCCCCGCATACAGTTGATTTCACTACTATGTATACTAATCTTTCTCATCAACGAATTCTTGACAATGTTGCTAATGCCGTTGATGAGGCGCATGACTACGCTCTTGCACAGGTACGGCAGCATACACAGACACCCTCATCGGGTGTTGCTCTTCGTATGCTGGTCCGTGGACCCCGTGCAGGGGAATGGACTACGGATACGGGACCTGACACTCTTTCTGTTTCTGACATTCTTCAACATCTTCGGTTTATTGGTACAAATACATATTTGTACACAGCGGATGGCCTTGTTCGTCATCAAGATGTCGGTATCCCTATGGGTACAAACGCTGGTCCTGAGATTGCCAAYCTTACACTCTATTGGGATGAGGCGCAGTACGTGGACAACCTGCAGCGTGTGGATCCCTCTGCTGCTCGCCGATATGCTTTTACATATCGGTTCATTGATGATGTTCTTACCTTTGATTGTCTGCCACCATCATCAGCCCATTATGGTCTTGAATGGAAGGAGACCACTGCGGCAGATGGCTCGTGCACCTTCTTAGGTGCGAAACTGCAGACACGAGCAGACGGATCTCTCAGATTGAGCGTGTTTGATAAGACCGTTGCATGGGATTTTCCTGTTATACGATATCCTAGTGCAACGTCGAACATTCCATCTCATCAGCCTGCAGGTGTGTTCACTGGCCAGCTTACGCGGTTTGAGCAGATCTGTGACAATTGGCGTGATTTCAAAACAGCAGCAACCATGCTTGTCCGCCGTTT